TGGTACAAATGCAAATCACATATCAATAAAGCTACTGTGTTAAAGGTAAATAAAGTATAAGCATCTTTAAACATTAAAATGTTTTATAAGTGAGTAAAATCACATAGTAATAAATAGAATTACAAGATTTTCAGTTAATAACAATGAAAATGTCAAGAGGAATTCTAAAGAAGCCAGGCATTTTTTGGAGAAATTGAAGAGCTAAAGAAAAATATATGAAAACAGATCTTAACTTTTATTTTATAGAGAAGTAACTAAAGCTAAGTTAGAAGAAGCACTTTGCCCAAGGTAGCAAGGAGGTTAAGTGCCAATGTGAGGACCTAAATTCAGGCCAGTTATATCCAATGTTAAAAATCTTTTTTTGGTCTTAAAGTTATTTAAAAAATTCTGGCTCAGCAAGTAAATATATTTCTAATATGAATCATATTTCAAGAACAGAAATAATAAAAATCTATAAGGTGTTAAAAATTCATTCTTTAAAAATATTTACACTTCTAACATTTTTCCTTTGGGACATTAGAAAGGGAAAATGCATATTAAATATTCCAGATAATTAGAATTTCAAAAACATCCAGAAAATGACTAATAAAAAATGCTTTGCCAACAAAGAGAATACTGAACGTTTTAACCACAGATTTCAAAACTGCTACTGTGAAATAATTGTTTGCATATTCCATTTGTTTTGGGCATCTAATTCAGAAACATCTGTTTCAATAGTTTCTGTTTACTGTGAAAAATAATCTTTGGTTTGAAAACAGGCTGAATTGATATGTAGACCATTCATCAGTTCTGCCACTATTAAATGAAGGCAAATTCATTACCTTGGGTAAAAATTAACTACAAAAATATAACTGCTCAATTCCTCACTTTTTTCTGCTTCTATGCTTTTGAAGATTTTTTACCTTCTTCCTCCTACAAAGTTTTCTGCTATAATTTCCGCAGCATCAAATTCTACAAATGAACTGCGAACTGGTTTCAAAGCTTTGTTAAATACCCCCTACTCTATGAACATTTTCAAACCTTCTCATGCTTTCCATTTTGAAGTAATGCATCTGAATCCCCATTGCATTTCTCTTTGTTTCCTTCAATATTTATATTCTATGAAATACTATGAATATTCATGTACAACTTACATATTATATAGATTGTAGTTCTTCTAGGACAAGATTTGTTTCTCACTCACATGTGTATCCCAAGAAGTGCATAAGGTGTTGCATATTATAAACTCTATATTTGTTGATGAATAAACTGAGAAAATAATTTGGAGGTACTTTTACAATTTGTGACAACTTGATTTGAAACTTTCAGAGAAATAATGAAATAGTCAATTAAGTGCTTCAAATATTCCACTATTGAGGAAATTATGGGAAATTATTCCTACAATTTGGAGAAAAAAAGAGAGTCTAAGAGTTAAAATGGCAAAAATCATAATATAGTAGATGATATTAATCTTATTTATAAATAAGTTATTCTCCAGGTGAACTAAGAACACACATATAAACTCAAAGGTTACTTTTAGATGGGCAAGGAATATGTTTGACCTGGAAAGAACATTATAATCTAGAGATCTTAAATAATTTTATGAAGAATGGGTTAAAAGAGATTAGTAAGGATGGGATCTAGAAAAGGGAGAACTAAAGAGCAGAGAATGTTTATGCATTCATTCATTTATTCAACAAATATTTCCTGATTATTATGTGCCAGGCACTGTGCTAAGCATACAGATGCACATTGCCTCTGCCTAACAGGAGTATTCAAACAGAGGCAAACATCAAGTTATAGCTTAATCTATGAAAGGAATAAATACTGATTTAAAGGTAAAATTTTGTTAGAGAGAGGGAGAAGAAAAAAAAAAGGAAGGAAAAGAGAGATATATTTATAATGCTGGAAAGAGTCTAGACATTGGAAGCCCAAGGAGGAGAGCAGAGAAATCATGAAATAAGAAACAGCTCGTGTGACTGGCACATGGTGGGAAAAAGAGGGACTAGTCAGCAATGAGGCTGAGCAGATTGTCAATGGAAAATCAGAGCCTTCTCAGTTGTGAAGAGGAATGTGAATTTTAATCTGTTGCAAGGGAAAGGCATTGAAGGGTTTTAGGAATAGAAGTGGCACCATCTGTTTTCCATAGTAGCTGAATCAGTTTCCATTTCCACCAGCAGTGATTGAGGGCTCCTTTTTCCCCACAACCTCTCCAACCCATGTTATTACTTGTCTTGTTGATAATAGCCATTCTAACAGGTGTGAGGTGGTATCTCATGGTAGTTTTGATTTGCATTTCCTTAATAGCTAGTGAAGTTGAGCGTCTTGTTTAATATGAAATATAATCCATTAGTGCAAGAAAGAAGTAATAAAAGACACAGAGAGAAGAGTAGAGATTTGGCCATGTCAGAATCCAACTTAATTTGACATGAATGAGCTAGCCAGTTACACATCACCCATAGAACAGCCTTTTCCCCCCAAACACATTCATTCGCCTACTCATCCAATCAGGACTTTTATTCTCAAAACAGTAAAATTTACAAGAATAGATACCACAAATAAGTAGATGCATGAAATTTCATTTTGACCTTATATGCTAAGTTCTATGTTAAGTAATGGCCATTATCTTCATTGTAGTGAAGTCAAACAAGTAAATGAGGAGGATGATAGCTTGTCACAAGTAATTTGAAGAAAATAATCATGGAGCTATGAAAAATTAGTAACACAGAGATTCTAGTAATCTTCTTATGCCTAACAAAGTGATTGACTAGATATATCTTAATTTGATAAAGTATAATATTCCTATGCTATCATGTTAATGAAAAGAAATAGCTAAAATCATCCTGCCTGTTAAGCTATCAAATAACACAACTCTCCAGATTAATGTAAACATAGGTCTTTAAATATTATCCATAAATTTGCTTACTTAAATATATTCATTGTTTGGTTGTCTCTTTTGGGTCAGAAAATGAATCTCAGAGGTCATTTAACTCAATTCCCTCAATAAATGTATATTTTAAAGATATATTAAGTAAAAATATTTTTAAAAGTAGATTACTTTTCCAAAAATACCCAATTAGTTAGTGGCAAAACGAGGCAGGTAATCCAGGCCTTCTTGAAATAGAGTAAGTTTTGTTTTTTGATTATCTGTGGTTTTTAAAACAATGCTATTCAGGAATGATCAACTAAAAAGCATTTGTACTTTGTCAGTTTTCAAAAGACTCACTGAAAAACTGAGTTAATTAAAATTGTATGAACTTTCTCAAGGTGCAAACATTCATGGGCAGAATCAATGATATTTCTTATGGGCTTCTGGAAGTTTGTGATTCAAATCAGAAATTGAAGATGTGAAGAGACAGATATAGTAATAAATATATGGAAATACATCCAAAAATTCTTTATTTTCACTGAATGTAAATAAGTTTGTCTGCTAAAGAGTAAAGAGAAGAGATTTTTCCCCCCCACTGTTCTCATTTGAGAGGGTTGGAATGACTTCTGCTCTTCCAGTTAAATAGAGATTTACAGGATAATTGATATGTTAATTGCTGTTGGAATTTAATTAAAAAGAAAATGTGAGAAAGAGTAAGAAGACATTCTTGGCGTCTCTTTAGTCACTGAGGAAGTTAAGAGATTAAAGTAGAGCTTTCAGAATAAATATTTGTGGGAGTTTTGGGAAAAAGTTAAGATTCAAGGAGTGAACAAGGAGTGGGCATTCTGACCCTTGTTGATAGTAATAAAGCCACTATAAAGATCTAACAGAATAGGTTTTAATTTCTTTTTAATTCCATTATTTTGAGAGACATGAGTAAGCACACACACGTCCACACACACACATAATTTTCCTTTCCAGTCTTCCAATCCACATCCCCACGTAAACGGTCATGGGTGGCTGGGGGATGGAGAGAGAGAGCAGACGGAGAGATGGATGACAGAAGAAAAAGTGTAACAAATGACTAGTCCTTCGTACTTGAACTTTCTGTCAAGAGATGGAAAATGTGTAAGATGGAATGGTGGGTAGCTTGTGACCCTAAGTAGCCATCTCTTTACATTTCCCGCCTCCACCTGCTCAGGACCCTGGCTGTGCGGGGAGGAGCTCAGCTCACCCAGTCCGCAGCCCTGCGGGGTTCGGGCGGGGCTCCAGCAGCAGCTCTTCTCGCGGCTCCGCCCACGCGCCGCCCTGCGCTTCCCTGGCCCTTTCCACCGGCGTCAGGCTCACTCTTAATTTCCATGCAAGGTCAAAGACACGGGGCCCCATCCGAAAAGACCTTTCGTTACTAAATTGTACCTTTCCCCGGAAGGGAACAATGGAGGGGCCCCCCTCCAGAGCGACTCCGCTCTCTCACCCTCAAAAGCCGCTGACTCTCCCGGGTTGAGCCCTGGAGCGTCCTTCGCCCAACTCACTCCAGTCGCCCTTTAGGCTCCGCACCAGTGACTAGCTGCTTTTTTAAAAGGGTGAAGCGCTAAGCACCGCCTACCGGCCTGAGTGGCCTGTCACTCTGTCCCGCTGTGCGGTGGTGATTCGCAGGCAGGACGGTGTCGCCGGGCCCCGCCCCCTTGCCTTGGCCGCGCTCCCGGTCTCGGGTTTCCCCCAAAAAGGTGGAGAGCGGGGTTCGGGCCCGCGGCGCCTGGAGCAGGTGAAGAAGCATCTTCGTTCAGGCTGTTGCTGCCGTTTTCTCCGGACGCGGGGCTGAGTCCGGAAAGGACTAGCATTCTCCCTTGGCCGGCAGAGCGCCAGTGAACTGTTGCCCAGACCTAGGCGCTTCATACATTTTATCTCACCAGTTATCCCTCTTTCACTGTGTGAATCACCTGCACATTTGTATCCTGTGACTGTCCCTCTGCTCACTGCTCAGAGAAGGGGTCGAAAGGGACTTTCAAGGGCCCGAAAGGCAAGCAGGCCCTCCGCCGACCGCGGGGAGCTGTCTGTGGTGCTGAAGCTTTTTCCAGGCGTTTGTCTCCCCACCACCGCCGCAAGGATAAGTTAGACTGCACATTTTCATCCCGGGCTTTCTTGTTCCCTCATGCCTTGGATGAGACTAATTTCAAGATCGTGAATATTCCTCTGTATCATGGCCCACGTGAGACACTTTCGGACATTAGTTTCGGGATTTTATTTTTGGGAAGCGGCACTACTACTCAGGTGAGTCCACTCGTATTTAACAGTTGGACAACTCATTCAAGCCTGTGTACTAGGATGCAACCACCTGTTATTGATGAGACCAAGAATGCAATTAGAGACTGACTTGTTGAAAGCATCCCTTAAATTGTATTGTTTTATGTCTAAAGTATTTAGCAGTCTATCTATTGAGACCTCTGAAAACCTGTAACTTTGCTCTATTTTCAGAAATTAATGCATTTTAGTAACTGGCATCTTTATTAATAGCAGCTGAGATGACCCTGGAAAAGTTATTTCAAAAGTCAAGTTTTTTTCTTCTCAAATTGCTATTAGAGTTTCCTTTTTCTAAGTATAAATCATAAGCTGTGATGTTACTCTCTTTCGGGGAGTTAAAAATATTTAGTAATTAGATATGGAGCATTACTAACTTTTTAAAAGGCAAAAAATTAGAGCATAAACATTTACTAATCAGAAAAATTCTGAACATTGGTTGATATATCTAAAGGTTAAGTTAAATGAATAAAAAATAAATACAAAAGTACTGTATATAATGAGCTTAGTTCAGGTAATACATGGAGGAAAATCATAAATAAATCATTAGATATGTTATACGTCAAGAATAATCTTTTTGGAGAAAGTAATATAATAAAAAACCTATAGAACAATAATATTGTTTTATGACATGTCATTTTCTTATCATGTCCAGTCATATTTGGTAGGCCTCATTTTTTCTTTTTAATGATTTTAAAGAGGAAAAGAGACTAGGCAAAAGGTCAGATAATTCAATCACTATTCTTAATTAAATAATGTATAAGCAAGATAGTGCTCATAGAGATTTTTGAACCATCAATATATTCATTTTATTATTATAATTTCCATTTTATGGCTCACAAGCTTTTCAAGAGGATTGAAATAAAATAATTAGCATAAGTTATGTGTATACTGATTTCTATTTGAAGTATGTAAATATTCTTTTCTGGGTTGCTAGGTCAAGTTTTCATCTTCAAGCACCTTAGAAAAACATAGCGTATTTCAAAAAAACTACCTACAGAAAGTTATATTATTTTTATAAGCCTGTAATAACAAGAACTAGTTGTGAAGGTTATTATATTTCTGAAATTATTGACATTTTCCTTAAGGGGTTGAACCACTGTAAACCAGAATATTTTCAGTGAAACTATTTTAATAAGACTTAGTAAATTTCTTAACTTTACAATTGTCACAGATTTTATATGCAGTGATCAAAACAAAGAGTGTAGAGCTCTTTTACATTTATGGAAATTTCATGGAAAGGAGTTCATGACATGCATATTTATTTTTTCAAAGAAATCATAATAGCTTAGTTGATAGATATTCAGATTTAGGAAGCTTAATGTCAGTAATTAAAATGTCAGTTTTGGTCACTGTGGTGAAATTTGTATAAAGGCAATTCACCGTATTTGTTATAACATATTCTTAGATAGGTAATCTTCATCACTAGAGACTCTGATTTTTGTCTAGTTTTATTGAAATTCACAAAAATTGTATTTCAAACTCACAATCATGATTATAAGATTTATCTTTATTAATATTAAATACTTTTAGTTAAAAATGTTTTTATGAATAATCCAAAAATGCAATCCCTTGAAACAGACATACTCAATATAGTAGTTTATGTGATACATGTATTTTTTATCAAGTTTTTCTTTCTTCTTTCATAAATTGAATAAAATTTTTCTCTATATTAGACTAGGCTTAGATGAGAGTAGCTCATTCCTCCATGAAGAACTTTAATCATATTTAAAGCAATTGAATATTTTATTTTCACTGATGACCCTTGAAAGAAAATTTTCTATAGTAAAGAAAATGAAGCTCCCTCTACTGGAAATATATTATAAAATAAATATCTTTATGGAAACTATTCTTTGTTCATTAAGTCTATTTGTGATGTATTGAGCAAAAGGAAACATGTAAAGGAAAAAAAGAATTTACTATTAATTCATAAATATATCTTTTTAATTTAATTTAACATATTCTTTCCAGGGCAGCTTGGAGGCAAAACATCTAGAAGCCATTGATATTTATAGTTAAATAATTTATGAGTACAAGTTTTTTTTCATAGATTTAAAAATATTTTAAAGTTTTTTATTGAGATACAACATATATGCAGAAAAGTGTACAAATGACAAGTTCCATATAAATTTTCACAAAACTGACATACTCATGTAAGGAGACCATGATCAGTAGCATTGTCAATATCACAGAAGCCCTCACCCTGCCCCCTCTCACCACCATATTCTTTCCCAGGCACTACTTTGCCCAAAGATAATCACTATCCTGACTTATGCAACAATAAAATGTTTTTCTTGCTTTTGAACTTTATGTAGATACTCAGCAGAGTCTGCTTTATTTTTATGAACATTATGTCTATGTGATTTATCCATATTGTTGCATGTAGCAATAGCTTGTTCACTCTCTCTGCTATATGGTAGTCCACTATATGAAGACATCACAGCTTACCTACTGTTCTATTATGGAACATTTGGGTATTTTTTAGGTTTTGGCTAGTGCTGAAATGAACATCCTTGAACATGTCTTTTTGTGAATACATCATTTTGGGGACTGTATGGGTTGAGTCCAAGTCTTTCTCTAGAACAAGAACGGTTGGGTCAAGGGGTGGTTTAGTAGGCACTGCATAGGTTTAGCTTTAGTAGGTACTGCAAGTTTTCTATAGTTGTACCTATTTATACTCCTATCAGCAATGTTTGAGAGTTCCTGTTGCTACTACTACTACAAAACTTGATCAGTGCAATATTATAATAAAAATTTCTAGCATTTTCTTAGAGCATTATTGCAAGCCCACAGACGATATTTTAGTGTGTGTGGTTTTTAAAAAAAATCTGGGCATAATTTCTGCTTTTTAGTAAATAAGTTTTATTAAGACAAAACATCAGAAAAAATATTTACTACTATAATACAATTAGAAGTATTTATTACCAGAATAAGTGTTGTATAAGAAATATAATTTTAAAGGGGACTTATTAAAGACAATAGTTCTTTTAATAAAAATAAGTGAGAAAATTCCATAAACAGACATAAGAAATCTGAATTTCTTATTAGTGAAGTTTTTTAAAGTTTCACGTTTGCTCAGACATTGCTCTTTTTTGAAGCAATTCTTCTATGGCTTTTGGATTCTAGTTCTCATATTAATAAAATAAAGAACAAAACACCAGTGTTCAGCTTTCTTTGAAATGTAGATAAGTGATGATTATAAAGAGCTTGAGGAACAAATTCCAAAAGTAGGGGAACTGCCCAAAATTTTTTGTTTAACTATTTTCATCACATACAATTTTGTTTTTCATCTTTACAGTTTGATATCAACATAGACTTGCTATATGAATAAATTATGGTGCATTGTGTCAAAAGCTGAATGTGTGAATTTTGGACTTTATGATAATCACAAATAAAATGTTTTCTTGTTTACTTCGAAGTCTAAAAAATGATATATTTGGCTTAGAATGTCTTGTTTTTTTGCTTTTGCTATGTTTTACAGGATGGGAAAAACCCTACTTTTAATGTTGGCTCTATTTTCTTATATAAGATATTAAAGAAAAATATACTTCAAGGAATAAACTTTTACTATTATGATGATTTTTTTTATATTCAGGTACAGTAGCTGGATTCTATACAGTTTTTTAATATTATACTACACGTAATATATGCTCCCTTTGTGTCTCTAAATAGTGATGTATTTTCCCAAGTATGAAAGGATAGTGGCCCAGTTTTCTAGTCAATGTCTCAAGCAGTTTGCCCTGCAGATTCAAAAACAGCTTATAAAATATTTCCTCTTGTATATAATTTTTCTTTCCTTTGACAACACAAGTATGTACTGAGGAAATCCAATTAACAAATGTGTACTTCATATGTAATGTTAAGCAATTCAACAAGATTTAGTTACCAATTCCTTGCACAAATATTTGTGCTGGGTACAATTTGGCCATGAATGATTGGGAAACTACCATCTTTAGTGACATGAAACTGAGAGTCTAACGGGAGAAAATACAAAGGGCCAAGTGACAAAAAACAACAATACACAACACACAGCAATGTTTAGGGAATGAGAGATGGGGAAGCTATCCATAAGGCTTGGTACTTGTGGTGGATCTTTTAAGATGCTTGTTCCCAGGGCAGAAATAAGATATAGAGAAAATATTCTATGCGAAGGAATGATATAGGCTTATAGTATGCTTAGGGAATGGTGATGGTCAAATCCAGATGAAGGAATCTCAATTTATGGTTTAAAATTGTATTCTAATGGCAACAACTATTGAGCTGGCTACGATAATAAACTTGCAGAAATATGAGAGTCACCACTTCCTTTCACAGTGGAATGTGGGTAAAATTTAGAAGCAAATAATTTAACTATAACTGGATAGTTATAATTACAGAAATGGTCTTATAATTTGGCTCAAAATATTTTTATGAACTCCTCTCTTTCAGAAGTATAATTTACCTCAAAATTACAATTAATCATAAGATAGCTAATAATAATTAGTAATAGTAAGAACCACGTAAACAAACAACGACAAAACTACAGAAGAAAGAATAATCTGATTGTTTTATAATTTGGAGACCATGTTTGCATCTTTCATCAAAATATTATCTTTTTATTTTATTATATTTAGTTTTCCTTTCCCTGTTCCTTTAAGCTTATTATATAGATCTTATTTTCTAACAATTTTGCAAAACTATTTAAACAACATAGTTGGTGGACTACCCAAAGAGGGCCTTCGTGACCTTTTAGAAGAATTATTAGATCAACTAATTTGTTATGTTTTTATTTATTTTTCAATATCAGTTTACAGTCAACATTATTTTGTAGGAGTTTCAGGTGTACAGTACCCACCTGGCACCATACATAGTTATTACGATATTATTGACTATATTCCTTATACTGTAATTTATACCTCAGTGACTATTCTGTAACTATCAATTTGTACTTCTTAATCCTTTCACCTTTTTTCACCTAGCCCCCCAGTCCCCCT